GGGGGGGCAGGGAAGTGAAGGCAGGCTGTGTGGATGGCCCTGAGCCCCAGAATGTTGATATGAAGGTGCAGCTCTAGTTGAGACCATCTTCCCTGTACTGCTCTTGTGCCACAATGGGTGCCCTAGCCCATGAGTACTGCGTCCGTCGAGATCATTACTGATGGATCTGGGCAATGGAAGGGTACGCCAGCCAGCACATTGGTGGGAGAAGTCCATCAGTTGAGAGATTATAGGACTGAAGGTGGGGCGTTTTGTGAGACCGTGCCAGTCTGGGATCTAGATGGTCGCAAGCCAGCACTGCAGGCAGCACATATGTAGCTTTGCAAGTAGAACAACAAAGGTTGTGGCTGCCATGTGTCCTAGTATTTGAAGACATGTGCATGCTCTAGTGAAGGGAGTATGCTTGATATCGCATAACGTTTCGAATCCTTGCAATAGCAGATAGGCTTTTGCTGTCACTGTGCCTAGGAATGCCCCGATAAATTATTTTGAGTAGGGTGCAAGGTAGACTTGTAAATATTTATAAGGAGGCCTCGTCGAGAGAAGCATTCTCTGGTAGTGTTCTTCATGACTATAGTTTGTTGATGCGTGGGCCCTTTGATTAGGCAGTCGTCAAGGTAGAGAAAAATAATGATGCTTTGTATTCTGAGAGAGGCCTTATCCACGGCTAAAATCTTGGAAAAAACCTGAGGGGCCATGGAGAGACCAAAAGGGAGGACTCGATATTGGTAGTGATCTTGACCTACCACGAACTTGAGAAATCTCCTGTGGGCAGGATTGTTATATGGAAATATGCATCCTGAAGGTCGAGGGCTGAGAACTAGTCCCTTGTCCAGTGCTGGTATAATAGTTGCAAGCGTCACCATTCTGAATTTGGTGTTGCAGTGAAACTGGTTTAGTTTCCTAAGATCCAAAATTGGTCTCCAGCCGCCTCTTTTCTTGGTAGTTAGAAAATAGTTGGAATAGAACCCTCTTCCCCGATGTTCTGTGGGAACTGGTTCTATTGCCCCTAGGCTGAGTACTTATGCTTGTAGGAGGGGCTTGTGAGGGGTTTTTTAAGAGGATGGGGTAGGTGGTTGGGTTGGGGATAGAGAGGTAACGGGGATTGTGTAGCCTGACTGGATCTCAAGGACCCACATATCCGTAGTAATGAGGGCCCATTTTGGTAAAAGGATCTCAGGCACTGATGGAAGGTGGCATTTGGATGCAGTGGGATGGTCTCTCAGATCCCTGAACAAAACTTCAAATCTGCTGTTTGTGTGAAGCGGGATGAGTGTTAGAGGACTGGTTGTGTCGAGTCCTTCTGTTGGAACGTTGCTGGGGCCTGCTATCATATGGTCTCTGCTGTTCTCTGTGGTAGTTTGAGTCTCTTGGTCTTTGCTACGGAATATATTTGCATCTTTTGGTAGGCAGAGTGTACATGCCAAAAGCACGCAGTATGGTATGAGAGTCCTTCATTGAGTGTAACACCTCATCTGTTTTTGTGATGAACAGTTGGTTCCTATCAAAGGGGAGGTCCTCCATCTTAGTTTGTAATACTTTTGGGACTCTTGATTGTAGCCATGATGCTCTGCGCATTACTTTTGCTGTAGCTGTGGCACTAGCTACTGTATCTGCCATCTTCATTGCAGCCTGGAGGACAACTTTAGCTATGGATTGGCTCTGTTTGATAATGGACTGGCCTTGTAGTCTCTTATTTTCAGGGAGATCCTGTAAAAGGTCTTGTAATCTAGCATAATTGGCAGGGCTCAACAAACAGCTGAATCTACTCGCCTGTGGCGAGTAGATTTCAGCCGGTTGCTCCGTGCGCCCCATTCACTGGTGCAGTGCTGGTCTGGCGCATGCATGGTGCGGGGCTGGTGAATAGCTCTCTCCAGGGTTTGTCAAGCCCTGATAATTGGCATGGTTATAGTTAGCCAGAAGGGCAGTGTAATTCAATATCCTGAACTGGAGGGTGGCGGAGGAGTATACTTTCTGGCCAAAGAGATCTAGTCTTTTGTGTTCTTTGTCCTGAGGTGTAGATTTGAATTGAGGGTGTTTTGTTTTGTGATGAACGGAGTCCATGACTAGTGAATTTGGGTGGGAACGTGAAAAGAGAAAGTCCATGGCCTTTTGCAGGGACAAAGTATTTTCTATCCGCTCTATAGTTGGTAAGAGGGATAGAAACTGGGGTTTGCCAGAATGCATCAGATGGTTCCAAGATAGCTTCATTGATGGGTAACACTATCTTTGAGGATACTGTTAGTTGTAGTATTGTAAGTAATTGGCATTGTTTGTCTTGCACTTCTTGGATATAATGTCCTGAGATTGAGCCACTCATTTGAATAGGTCTTAGAATTGTTCTAGGTCACCTGCCAGCAGAGAGGGCGATACCTGGAAAACTGCTTCATCTAGACAAGCCAAACAATGTGGAGCATGAGAAGAGCACTCTGAGTCAGTGTGAGGTAAGTTATCTTCATCTGCTGAATCTGCCTGGGTTGTTACCGAGGGGCGGTCAGACGGTGAGGAATGAACTGTGGTAGCCAGGGAACATGTAGTTGTGTGCTGTGGCATAGCGGGTGGTGTATTTTGTGAGCTATAGCTATGGGAGAAGCAGGGATGATACACGTGTCATGGCTCCCAGAGAGGCTACTGAGGCTGAAGGTGCTGTGGATACAGTCATGGCTGGCTAAGCCATGGGAGTTGTGGCAGTTGTTGAAAACGATTATTTTGGGTCGAATGCCAGGAAGTCACTGATTCCCATTGGGGATGAATTGGCAAGATGAGAATCCACTTCCCTGCCAGCTGCCATGTCCTGGCTGTGGGGATTTTTGTAAGTGGCACGTCTTGCTAGATGCTTTCATATGCTCTGGTGCCAGAGCGCGTTTGGATTCTGAATGCCTGGGACCAGCGTATTCAAGTGGTGCTGGGCGCCTGTGGGTGCTGGCGGTGATGGCATGTGTGGCTTCGTTTGCACCAGTGGATTTGTCATACTGATGGGTGCTGAGTGTTTTGGTTTGGACTGAGCTCTCCTGGCTGATGTCAACTTAACATTTCTCCACGGTGCTGGAAACTGACAGCACTGGAGAATGGGCGGGGAAGCCAGTGACACTTGTGAGCCTCTATGGGGCAATGAGCTAGCTCTGTCATGGAGCATCGGTTGCCCCTATGTCTCCTGGGTCTTATCCACTGATGGTTGGAGGGATTTCTCCCAGAGGTTCTTCAGCCGCATTTCGTGGTCTTTCCTTGCTCTGGCTGTCATGTTTAAGCAATGCGGGCACTTCTGTGCTACATGACTTTTGCCCAGACATTTAATACAGGACGCGTGTCTGTCCAAAACCGGTATTGAATTCTGACACGAGTCACATTTCTTAAAGCTGGGAGAGCCCAGCCTGTTGAGAACGGGAAAAAAAGCTGCTGCAGCAGTTGAGGATTTTTTTTTTTCTAAACTGAAGGACTAGGTGAAACCTCTTATAAACTGACTAAACTTAACTATTTCTAAACTGTACTATTTGTTTATTTTCTGTCAGAAAGGAGAGCATTGCTCTGACTCCATCTTCAGCGGAGGATGGTAGAAAAGGAACAGAGGGAGGTTCGCGCTGTGCACGCTCTTTACAGACAACAACAGGTGCAGAGAAGACTTGGGGTGATAGACTTCAATAGGAAAGATTATAGCATGTAAATAAGTAAAATCTGATTTGAATGAAGACTAAGAGAAGATAAATCACTACCTATTAGTATCTGAAGAGATCAGGTAGATGGGGGGGAGGTAGAGGAGAGAGCGGGAGGGCTGTTGCTACGCTTCAAAGGCGAAAGTGCTGCTGGGAGCACAGGGCCAGTGGGGGACTCAAGCAGTCCCCTGCTAGCCCCATGCTCCCTTCAGTGTTTCAAGGCGGCAGTGCCGCATGGAACCTGGGTTCAGTGGGGGAACCCAGTGAACCCGGGCTCCATGTGGCATTGCTGTTTTGAAATGTCATGTGCAACCTGGGGCCAGCTGGGGACCGCATGCGGCGTTTCAAAGTGCCAGACCCTGGGCTGCATGCAGCATCTGAAAGCAGCAGTGCTGTGTGAAGCCCAGGGTCTGGCCCCAGTCTCCATGCGGCACTGCTGCTTTGAAGCACCCCTCCTCTCTTCCCTCCCCCCGCCTCTTTCTGATAGAAGCAGCAAGTTGGGGTGGGGATGAGGGGGGAAGTGACTAGTCATTCGCATCCCTAATCTGGGCTTGCTGATTTTAAAAATGTGTATCCATGGTAGGTATTGTTTAACATCCTTCTTACCTTACTAAAGGATAGGAAAGTAATTCATTGCCAAACTTTCACTTCTGAGTACACTTATCAAATCACTAGGAATATTTGTATGAGAAAGGACTAATATTGTGAACAGGGTTTGCAGAGCAGGTACTGTATCAATGCTTGTTTTATAAGTACATTTACTTGTAAACAGTAGATTTTACAGCACCAGATCAGTGTTCTGGTAACACTGAACCGTGAAAAATGTAGCTGCACTGCATTTGTTTGTACACACTTGAGGAAGGGGAATGTCGATTTTTGGGCAAATGTTTCCTAGTTATGAGGTATACTATGAAAGTTTAAACTGAGTTTTTCTATTTAAACCAAATCTACTTTAATGCATTTTTTTTAAAAAGATATTTAATTTCTTTAATAATTTCTGAAGTATTTATGAAGGCATAGGTACCATTAAATTGCCACCAAATAAAAAAAAGGAACTTAAAATCCTCAGATATTCAAGTTGCATTGTATTATCTTTTCTTTATGAAGATTAAAAATACATTCTGTACCCATTTGCCATATACTTCATTTTAAAACTCTTAAACTGTTCTGTAGTGAACTTGAAATCAAGTATAAAGTTGATATTTCAATGCCTAGAGTTTAAGGAATTCTGAAAAGCAGACACACAGCTTGCTTTAGCAATCACAAAGTGTTAATTAGCAATCCTTTTCTACCAGAGTTTAAGAGCTGACCATTACTCATAAGTTGTAATAGTACCTTGCCACAGCAGCAACTACTATTCTAGCTGCCAATTCCTTGTAGTACTCCGTTCTGACAACGTTACAGCCATAGTGGCGCTGGGCCACATGCTGAGCTTTTGCATACAGAGAACTGATGTCTGTGGATGTCACCGATACTATTCCAAGATTTCTTACATTTCTGAATGCAGAATCCAGGTAGTTCACAGCTGTTCCAAATGGGTCCAAGTGTCTGAAAACAAAAAAATCAGCTGTCTCTCAGTTTACACAACTACTTAGCTTTTAAACCGAAGGGAAAAAAAACTCTAAAGGTTGAACTTCTTTAGTCCAGTACCCTCGGGGATCTGACCAATTCGGAACCAGAGAATTTTCTGGACCATGGGAGGTCAATATTGTCTACCACAGGCCTGGGCAAAATACAGCCTGTGGGCTGCATCTGGCCTGCCATACCATAGGCTCCTCTGCTTGCCCCGCACACTGCTCCAAAACACAGCTACAGGGCACTTTCTCTGAGTCTGGAGGTGAGGAGGGAAGATTCAGATGCTGCTCCCGCCCCCAGTACAATCCTATTAGCCAGTATCTGGACAAACTCGCCAATGGGAGCTGCCTGTTTGAATAAGGCGTATGGCGGAGCAAGCAGAAACATTTTAAGCTGTGCAAGCAGGCTGGATTGGCTACTAACTGCCCAGCCCCTCCCTTCCCCAACGCTTTGCCCCCCACTCCTGTTCTGTTACTCCACAGGCACCTATACCCCCTCTCCGATATTACAGTCCCCTCCTAACCTAGGTCACATCCCAAAACCTGCACCTCAGTTCCCTGCCCTAGGTCACAACTGACTAATTCACCCAAACTCCCTCCCAGACTCCATTCTCCCTCCTGCACTCCAATCACTTACCCCAAGCTCCCTTCTGCACCCTACCTCCATCCCAGACCATCCATTAATACCATGGAAGAGTGAAGCCCTCAACCACTTTTCAAAAAATCTTAGTGTGATCCCCTATAAAAAATTATTACCCATCCCTGGTCTAGCATCATTACCAGCACTTCCTCTGCTTAGAGGGGTAAATTAGAGCTAAATAAAAGCACAGAAAACTGAGAGCTAGAACTGGTAGCAGTAAATAAATTTTATAGGACCACAAGAAACTTGGCCACACCTGTGAAAAAAGGACAGTCAGATACCTAAAATCATTCTACACAATGGATGTTTCTGGACCAGAGAGTTCTGGACTAGACAGGTTCAACCTGTATTAAAAAAAGTACTCAGCCATGTTTGAAGTAAAATAAACATACAATTTGATTTTACAACACACTTTCCATATCCCCAATATACCCGCATAATCTACAAAACAACAAGAGGGGGCAGGCAGTACATGCTGAATAATGCAATAGTCATCACACATCCAGCACAATCCCTCTTACATCCTAGCAAACTGTATAAATGAACTAAGAAGAATGTTGGCCAAGAAACCAATGTTTATTCGGCCATGCTTTTCAAAATTAACAAATCTCTCTCTTTTTATATACAAAGTTTCCTGTGGGACGACAGAATGATGTCATCATGTCACTCTGTGTCCAGCAGCCACTCCACCCTCAGCTGGGCAGCCTCCTCAGTGCAGGTGGCGGGGGGAGAAGGGACAGCCAGGGCTGCTGTGGGCTTGGCCCCGACCTCCCCAGCAGCTGGGGAATAGTAGGGGGATGAGCTGGGGCTGGCAGGTCCTCAACCCAGGGTGGGCGGGAGCCAGGGTCGGCACAGCCTTGACCCAGGGAGCCCGGGGTTGGTGCAGCCCAGCCCTCCCCAGCGGGCTGCCGACCTCCACAGAGAGGGGGGCTGGTGAGTGCAGCCCCCTAGTAAACTTATAAAAATGGAAACACAAGCCAAGATTTTCAAATGTAGGTATCTAAAGTTAGAATCTGAAAATTAGGCCACCTATTTGAAAACCTAAGTACCCACAACTTCCTCTGCACTCAGCTCGTTTGTAGATGTTCAGCAACTCTTAAGAATTAGATCACTTACTTTGATGTCTACATATGGATTTAGTGCTTCCATTTGGGCACTATAGTTAAAATATTTTGGCCTTAGATTATATTTAAGCCAGCCATGCTCTTTTAGAACAGATTACAATCACTGATCAATAAATACATGGACTTATTAAAAACTGCATGCACAAATATAAATTTCACATTGGCTAAAATCTTAGAAAAAAGATTCTTATTTCATTTTCCCAAACAATGAAATTAGATCCAAAATTCTCAAGTTTGGCCTAACATGTTCATATACACTGTGAAGCAAACCTGTAGCTCAAACCAGGGATGCTCACTCACCTCCAATGGTTTTTCCCCTTCAACAGCACCTGCAATAACTCATCACCCAAAATCCTAGAGATTTCTGTACTATGGAAAAATCCAGAATTTGTGTTTTTACAGAAAATCAAAAACATATGCAGTAGAACTCAGTTTATCTGAACCTCTATTATCCATTTCTCCATATTAAGCAAACCAGGGCGTACAGTCCAAGCTCTGCATGGCAAGGTTCATCTTGTCAGCCCTGGGTGGATGGGCTCCCTATTGTGGTTAGGGAAATTATAGTTTAGTGTTTCATTATAATCGTTGGAAAAAACACTGATTTTTATCAAATTCAGGGGTGGTTGCCTTGGAAAAGTAGGATACCTGCTCATCACTCAGGCATGCTGCAGCAAATCAGCTGCAGGGACTCATCCCAGAAACAAAGTCTGAGCACTTAGGCTCTGCACAAGGAGTGCAACATTGTGAGTCAGATGATCCCCAAGCATGGGTATTTCACTGACCATATCTGAGCAGCAGGTTGTTCTGTGCAACAGCACTACTCAGCCAGGAATCTGCCTTTTGACGTGCAGTGTTAGGCTTCCAGTCTGTCCTCAATCTGGTTCCTGTTTCTGCCCTAGCCTTGCCCCAGTGTACTTCAGCCTCGCACATACCTTACTCTGACCTTGCTCCAGTCCTGTCTTTGCCTCCGGACCCTTAGACTGACTCCAACCCAGCTTCATCCTTTGCCTGCATCCAGATGCCAACTATATTCTTGATTTGGCTTGTCTATACATGATATCAGTTCTGATTCACAGCCTACCCACAGACCCCAATTTCAGCACTGTCTGGTCCTAACTCTGTGGCTGGCTCTGACCTTGGTATTTCTTCTCAGCCATGGCTCCAAACATCATGCCTGACCACCTAGAACTCAGCATCTAACATATTATCCAGGTGTTTATTCGCCACTTTGGATGCCAGGAGGCTTAAATGTTTTCCCAGTGATTATTTTTTAAAGATTTTAAATTAAGCATTTATTTTCATAGGATTTCAGGTGCTACACAAACTTTTAATAAACAACCAACTGCTGTTGGTTGACTCAACCATTCAGACTCCTCTAAATAATGACAGGGGAAAAATTCAATTAAAGGCAAATCAAAGTACAAAGTAAAGATAAGCCTGTATTAGCAAACACTCTTCACTTACATAAAATCAAAGGATCTCAAGTGCATTATGACATTAGCATCCATTTTTGTCACTTCAATGATGCCTACATTTTCCTCTCCTTCGTCCATAGTTTCCTCACAGTCGTCCTCTTCCTTAGTGTTCATCACCACCTTCATCTTGTTTAAATGGCAGTTTTCCTGAATCATTGTCACAGAATTTTCATTAAAATCATTAATTGTAACTTTCACAGAATTTCCAAGGTGCTTTGCCCACTGTAATCCCATTATACCTGAGGAGAAAGACAAATGCATAATTTTAAGGTTGGCTGCATGCATTAGAATATAACTTCAATAAAAACACAATCAAACCCTGTGTGGGCTCAATACAGAAATGTGATCCATACTCTGGCATTCATCATGCAAAAATTCTGCTGGCAAACTCCTGCATTTGCATGAAGACTTAGTACAGTCTGTATGGGCATAAGGGTTTGTCTACCCAGTTCTCACTAGTGGATATGTGCCATAGATATGAAAAAGCTCTATGTACTGTGAAACAAATTGGATGTCAAATATGGAGCAAGGCCTTGGCTTGTGCCCTCTAATGCAGCAGACAGGAACTTCTCCAGCAAAGTAAGATAAATTTAAAAAAATTTAAAGATAATTTAAATTGTTTTTTAAATTGTAAATTTTTTAACTGCACAAAACATGAAAATTAACATTTTAAATAATATAGAAATCCTTGTTAGTCTGATACTAAACTGATTTTATGCTACCCCTCAAATTTAAATTTTTGATTTGCTGCACATATTTATAACAATACGTGCCTATATTGTAAAAGATATTGGGGTTTTGATAGCTGGATAGGAAGTAGTTAAGGCTTTTGGTGTGTCTTGGAACTTTGCAACAAACACATTAGCAGGTTACTAACTACTGAGCATTGTTAGTGTACATTTAGCAAATTGTTGTCTTTTAGGTTTTAGAACTAACATCTGCCTGAGATCATGGGGATAGATTACATCTCTCTGATCCACTATTTCTCTCATCCAGAAGACTCAGAAAGACAACAGTACATTATAAAGAAAAATCCTGACCAAGAAATTAAATATAACAAGACTGTAATAATTTTTAAAATGAAAGCCTGGATTCACTGGCATGTTCTATGGCTAGGGGGTTGATTTTGCAGCCAAATTCCAGAGCTATGGAATCAAAATACATGGGGCCTTGGACATAACTCATCAAGTTAAGTTACATGGTATTTCATGTGCTTTAAAAATGTAAAAATTCTGTCTTTGAACATGAATAATTTCAACTGAAAGATATCTATGGTCTTTTTACACATCTATGGCCAAATCCTGAGCTACTTAACTAAAGGAAACGCACGGAAATCAAAAGGAGTCTGCCTAGGCAGGTACATGCAATGTCAATTAATCATAAGAAGGTTTTTCTTTAAATTTTTCATTCTATTTTACAATTTATAAAAACTAAAATGAGACTCCAAAAGTTTGTTTATTTACCAGTGGCCCCAAATGCATCCAAACATTCTAAAGGGTTCCGTTCTTCAGCCAAAACAGCTAATGCACAAAATATCAATTGCCTAGAAGATAAAAAGATGTACAGTAAAGATTAGAGTATGTATTTCACATAGTCTTGTTTCACCGATATAGTGCTGACTATACCAGGATTATATCAGTATGTCACTCAAAGATGTGGATTTTTCACATCGCTGAGTGACAGAATTATTCCGATACAAGACTATAGTGTACACCTGTCCTAAGAGTTTGTACTGGAATGGAATCCTTCACACTGTGGCAAAAAGGTGGTATGAAAGATAGATCATGGAAATTACTGCTATTTTTTTTAAACCACCATTCACTGCTACTATTGTCTGTCTGAAAATAGCCAGACACAAAATTATCTTTCACTAGGTTCCTTCTGGTGAAGGACCCTAGCAATTACTGAAGGGTAGTTAAATTTCAAGTGTTTCAGGGAACAGGCTTTGTTGTTGCAGCAGTGGGATGAGGCTATGACTCTTCTAAGGACGAAACAACGACCCTGTTCACTGGCATTAAAAAGAGTGACGTGCAGAGGAGCTAGAGGAAAGAATCTGCTCTAACCAAGTGGGACCTGTAAAAAGGAGTCATAGGATGTAAGAGGCATGGAGTACGCTCATGCTTCAGTTGTACTGGAGGAGAGCATTAGGTGGTGTCTTGCCCTGGATGCTCATAGAACTCACAGGAAAACATTTCATTGTATATGTTTTCTGAGTATTCAAATATGGTATCTGTGGGGGTTTTTCTCCATAAACTCCCACACTACTGCAAAACTAGCATCTTCATTTCCTTAGGCTTAGAAACTAGAACATCTTCCACACACATTTTGTTTTAGAGTATTTTGTTCTGAAAACTATTGCTGCTTATATTAGGGAAGATAGTTTAGTGAGCAAAATTAGAAAAGAATTAACATGGAGCCTTCCTATATTGGGCAACTTATTTTATTGCTTGAAAAATGTTAATCTTCTAGAAATCATAGTGGAATGTTTACTGGGATTTTTTTAGGTGAAAGCATTTTATTGCAACCTCTTCCCACTACCCCTCTCACCTGTTGAGTTTCATTTTGGGATTAAAATAAGAATCTGATTTCTGAGGTGTGGAGTAGTTTGGAAGAACTTGTACATCCGTGTCTGCTTCTTTCAGCACTTCATGAGAAGACTTAGGAGCAGGGGCTAAAAATGTATGGGGGGAGGGGGGGAAGAGAGAGAGAATTAATGGTCATTTGTGAGAATCTAGTACATTTTATCTATAAAATTAAAAAAATCTCTCAAATAATTAGAGCTCCACTCTCACTGATACATAATAATGGAATCCTGTTAACATGGGATTACCATTCTGTGCTAAGAATGGAGACCATAGCTAATTTATATTCAGGACATTAGCAAATCTGGTGCCAAATTCTACCCTGATTTACACCCTATAAAATACCATAGTGTCACCATACAGTAGGGCTACCAAATTCCTCTCTTAGAATACACCCCTTTAATAACTATCCAAGTTGAATAGTACAAGATGGTGCAGGAAATACATTCTCTCATATTAAAAGTGACACTGAGCTTGTGATAGTTCTCCAGTCACTTTTTGATAACTTAAAAAAAACCCACAGGAGGATTCGAGTCAGTCCAGGATTTCAGAGACCTTCATTTTTACCTGAAAAATTCAGGATAATTTTCTGAAATAAACCACTCCTTTCCTACAGGCAAAAAACTGGCTACATGCTCTGAAACTTGCAGATCTACCCTCTCTGGAAGTATCATGGAAGATGGGTTTTCTATTTTGCATGCTCAAACACAGAATACTGCTATTCCATTAAATCATACTAACAAGAGAATTGTTGAGAACACATATCTATCTGCTGTGAACTCCCTCTGCTGCCTTGGTCTGGTTTGGACAAATGAAATGTCAACACATGTAAGATATTGTTTTAATTCGTCAAAGATGAAGCGATTTTACTATTTATACTGTAGTTTCCATTTGTCAATCTCAAAATTACACAGGTGTGGAAATATGATCTCCATTTTGCAGATGAGGGAAAGTGACCCAATGAAGATTGAGTGATTTATCCAAGGCTAGATAGAGAATTTGAGAATAAAACCCAGGTTTCTGAAATTGACTAGATCACCTTTCCCCATAAGTGAAGAAAAAGAGTATGCGTGTCTATATTCATGTGTGGGGATAAGGCAAATGACAGTTTCACTTTCTACAACAACCTGTTTATATGGTTTCCGCAAAATGGGAGCTATCTTTAATTTGTGCCCTTCACATGGCAGTGGTAGAGAGAAGACAGAATAAAAGTTGGATGAAAAGGACAGAGGAGCAGAACCACATATACTACCAGTTAGAATAGTAATAAGTGTTGTTCTTCGAGTGATGGTCCCGATATGTATTCCAAATGCAGATATGCATGCATGCCATGCACTGGAGCCAGAAATTTTAGAACAGCAGTGTCTACTGACCCACACAGTCACTTTGTGTCGCCACATGCTCCATGTGAGGTTACTGGAGGGCAATGTGCCCTCAGTTCCCTCTTACCACATGGTTGGATTTAGGATCTTCTCTTTGCAGACGTGCACTCTTAGGAGAATGACGGCCCTTTGTAGATAGTGCATTTTGCTTTCTTTTCATATTTCTGTAAAAAGATTAGTTGAGTGAATTAATGTCTACACTAGCTCCTTATAGGGCCTGTCCTGACCGATTTGGGGAATTATGTCCCATGTTCCAGAGTCAAGAACTGCCCCTGGTGCTCTCACTTGTTCTTCAAGAGCAATGAGCACATGTGCTGTCTCTACTGCCTGGGTGAGACATACCTTGTCACCCGCTGTAATATCTGCACATTCTTCGCATCAAGGACCTGCCACACATCTTCAGTACCTCTGCAAGCTCTTCATGGTAGAAACGCCGCCGTCTTGTGTGATGTCTGAGTCCAGACCATTTGTGCTGGTGGTGCAATGACCATCATTGGTGGTGAGCACCCTGACCTCAGCTTCATACCTAGCTCCGTCGGCAGCACCAAGACATGAAAGGGCACACAAGCACAGATGCACACATGCTCATGAACACGGTAACAAGGCTCTGTAGCAGACCGCTGTGCTGTACTGTATTTCCTCCCCTAGATGGCTTTGGTTGGGTGAGATGATATTCAATGACCTTACAGGGCCATCTCCTAAGTCAGGGGCAAGGGAAAGCAGAAGCAAACCCAGAAGCTGCTATGAAGACCAACACTCCCAACAGACTGCCAGTGGATGCTACTTGGTCAGGTAAGCACTCTCCAGTTTGTGCTCTATACATCCCTCCTCAGAGTGGCAAACAACATATCCACTGGTTTCTATGTCCTACTTTGAGCTGCCGTCAGTCCTGCGTCCAACTTCACCAGTGGCTGTGACCCACATGTGACTTCACATGGAGGCTATCCGCCTCTGGAACTCAGGTTTCTGCCATCATGTTGTACCCCAGGCGGTGTACCTACAGGGGGCACAGAACTCCATAGCAGATGCACTAAGAATAATTTTGGTGCCTCAGTCACAAGTGAGAGCTCCACAATTACACGTTCTGTGACCTCTGCTAGGCCTGGGGAAACCCCCACCGTGGGATCCCTTTGTTACTCTTGCAAACTGTAAATTCCTGCTTCACTTCTGTGAGATGGAGGGGCAGGGAGCAGTTAGGACCCTAAGGTGATACCCACTTTCTGTGGCACAAAGGACTTTGGTATGCGTCCCTCCCACCAATTACCCCTCTTCTCCTAGATCTTCTGCAAGATCTGCTGAGATCGGGCCAGGTCATGATGACACTGTGCAGGCTCTGACAGTTTTGTTTTCCCAAGCTACTCATACAGGCAAGCCTGCCCATGGCAGGATCTGCCATTCCAACCTGGGCCTGCTCCAACTGATGGCCTAATTTTTGCATGGGGCTCATTTGTAGACAATGCCTGCTCATCACCTGCCTGCTGTATTTTTACATATAGTAGGCAGAAGTCTGAGGGCATGCTACACCACAAAATGGACACAGGATGGCGTCAGCTTCTGGGTGCACCACCAACACCATTCCTCCATACTGTCTATGCCTGTGAACCTAGACTACCTTCTGGAGCTCAAGAACTTGGGCCTTGTGCTCAGCTCTTCCTCACAACACTCAACGCCTCCCTCCCTCCCATGGATGGCAGGTCAATATTTACCCACCTGCTAAGAGGCTTGATGACCTGCTTCCTTCCGGGGATCTTAACCTCATGTTGTCTGCCTTCACCTGGACTCCATTCAAATCCCTGACTGCATGGTCCCTAGCCCACCTATCCATGAAGGTCTTCTTTTTGGTCGTCATCACATCTGCCCAGTAGGTCAGTAAACTGGCAGCCGTGATGGCTGACTTCTTTCCATCCATATAAAGTTTTCCATAAGCACAGAGTGTCTCCGTTTCTACACCATAAGTTCCTCCAAAAGACTGTCTCTGAGTTTCATCTCAACCAGTCCACTGATCTCCTGGTCTTCCATCCTAACCCCCACACCACTCCCTACATGTCCACAAGGAAATTGGCCTTCTACTTGGATAGCACTTGAACTTTCTGCACAATCCTCAGCTTCTTCACAGTTATTGTAGAATGGTCAATAGGGCAGGCCCTCTTCTTGCAGTGCATCTTCAAGTTGATCTCTATTACAGAATGCAACACACATTCCACCATGACACTATCCAGGAGAATCATATGCATTCCACACAGGTACATGTGACTACCTCCACCTCCTAATATCCAACCTAGACCTCCCTTACTGCAACTTGAGACCATTGCGCCTTGTTCTGTCATCTGTCCTCATTGAGAATGGCCCCCCCTTTGGAACTCCCCTTCAGATAGTTGAAGGCTTCTATCAAATCCCGCCGCCCCCTTCTCTTCTGTAGACTAAATAAGCCCAAATCCCTTAGCCTCTCATCCTAAGTCATGTGCTCCAGCAAACTGGACTCTTTCCAATGTGTCCACATCCTTTCTGTAATGGGGAGGCCCAGAATTGGATGCAGTACTCCAAATAAGGCCTCACCAGTACTGAATCAAGGGGCATAAAGGGGAATAATCACCCCATACGGCCTCTTATATCCTTACATAGAACACATGGTGACTGGTGGATCAATGGACATTGCTGCTGAAAAATTTCCATCTCTGGTAAATGAAGCACATATGCACCCACATTTGGAATACAAATAGGACCACATATCTCGAATCTCCAGTAACAGGTGAGTAACCTCCTCTGTTAATAACTTGCACAGAAAGTATTTGAAATCTTGTGCTAAGCTTTTTTTTTTTTTTAAAGAGAGTCCTTCCAATAATATTATTAGCTTTTCCAGTTTAGTTCTTATCAGGTCAAAAGATTAGTGCAGATGATTTTGGGGGGTTAGTAACAGGATTCCGATGTACTGAAATAAATGAGCAATCTTCTATCTACATGCTGTAGAACTGAAGAAAGTCAGCTGATTTCAATATTCCATGATTATGTACTTCAAACAGAATACTAAAATGTTGAATTGTTTTTATCTCAACTTGATTGATACTTGAGGCTGATTTTAAAAATAAATAAATGCTGCCAAAATAGGGAGGCATGAAAGTAGCCACACCAATTTTGTTTTACTGGTACCGTGTCTCATTGTTTGCACCATTCTTTTGAAAAGGTTGGATATGGACATGCCTAAGGTTATAAAATTAATTGCAAAATTATGATTTTTTTAATCAGCAAAAACAGAGCTGTTGCCTGATCTAATAATTGTGTATTATTTATATCAATTACTTAAGAATTTCCAGTCAATGCTGTGAGGTTTGGTAGGTTCTAGTTGCAGGATCAGTTCCAGTATTATTACAATGATTGTTCTGATGGCAATCTTGATGTGCATATTTGCAAAACTCTCACTTGAGAAAACCCTTTTGAATTTTCAATAGTTTTACAAACACAAAGTCAAACACCTCCAAACCAAATACCACCACTACTAGTGGTGACCATCTTGGCATCTCCCAAGAGTTACATTCCCCAAGGAACACGGAATGGGATATAACTAACAAAATATTACATTGATGCCACTGTGCCAAATGCACATTCAGTATGTGGGTCTCTCTTTTTGTGTTTCCTTACTTTACCAATGTAGGATGCCCTTCTCCCCAAGATTACCTAAAGCTTATTAGCATATACATCAATTAGTTACCATGGCTCTCTTATTTCAGATGTCTGCTGATGTTCCTAACTTAAATATCCCTACCTGGTATAAATTAACATCTTGTGGTTACCTATCAGCAGTTTATTCAGTGTTCCATTCTGTGATATATCTTATGATCTAGGCAGGGTTACTCTTGGTTAACTGCATATGCCAAGGCTTTGGGGCCTTATGCCTTGTTTAGCTGAACTATTGTCTTTTGCGCTTGAGGACTGTAAAAGCTTTGCTTTACTAGTTTTCTTATGCCTGTGTCTTACCTAGCAAATGCCTACACATATAGGTTGCAGAGCAGAAGGGCACAGCAGAGAGTAAACACTACAAATTCAGCATGCTAAACTTTTAGGATTATACAGGCAAAACAGTGAGTAATGGTTTGGCAACCTTTATTATGAAGGACACATTTCTTGTTTTAAATTTCCTTCTAACTTTGAGGAAACTTTTTTTTTTTTTTTAGTATTATCTTACTTTGGACAGTCCCTCAACTATATAGTCCAGCTATAAGACAGAATACAATGTATAAAGGATTCATTTACACACAAGTCAGGAACATTAAATTTACCTGCAGTATATCTTGACTCAGTTTCTCCTTTATTCACATGGCGCTTAATATGCCCTATCATGTCCGTCCTTCGTGTGATGGTTGCGGAACAAATGATGCAGTGATAATGGGCTCCCATCTTTGTAGAGCTCTATAAAAAAGTCAGTGTAGTTTTAAAATACAGCGAAATAAAGAGAGTGAAGTAACAACAATGCAGCTTTGCTGCTATAGTGCTTTAGTGAAGATTCTACCACATAGGAACTTCTCCTGTCGGCACAGTTAATCAACCTCTGCAGGAAATGATAGCTGTCTACATTGGGGGATAGGTTGGTATAAATATGTCTGAGGTGTGGAATTTTCATACCCCCAGTTATGTTGTTATACTGACGTAAGTTTGTAGTGTATACCTGACCTGATGTCACAGCTAAATTCAAGATGGAAAGATTGTTTAGCAGAAGTCATTAACACACATTGTAAGACACCACTCAAGGAGAAGTGGTGAGTTGTACACAAGAAGGAAGTTTACAAGAAGAGAAGGTTACTCACCCTCTGCAGTAACTGACGTTCTTTGAGCTGGGTGTCTGTGGGTGCTCCACCTTAGGTGGGTGCTCCACCTCTGTTTTGGCGCCGCAGCACGCGTGGCCGGAAGATTTTACTAGCAGTGACTTTGACAGCTAGCTCACACATGTGCAAAAGCGTTACATGCGCTAGGCGGCTAATGCGCATGCACGAGATACGATCTCCTCCGTTCCTTCTCTGCTCTGGAAAAGTATAGAAATAATACTGAAGCAGAGGGGAGGAACGGTGGGTGGTGGGGCACTCACATGGACACCCATCTTGAAGAACATCAGTTACTGCAGAGGATGAGTAACCCTCTCTTCTTCCTTGAGGAGTGTCCCTGTGGGTGCTCCAACATAGGTGACTATAAGCAGTTTATCCCTTGGAGGTGGGAGCTTCGGATGGAGTAGTGTCCTTTTGGACCGTTGTAAGGATGGTATGTCCAATGCAGTTTCTCTAGACACACAGGAGTCTAGAGCATAATGAGCTGTAAATGTATAAGGAGATGACCTGGTGGCCGATTTGCATATATTGGACAGGAGATGCCCCATCCATAGGCTGTGGATGTTGCCATGGCCCTGGTCGAATGTGCATGAAGTTGTGCAGGTCGCTCTTTACCAAAGGTTGAATATACTATTCTTACACATTCAACTATCCATTTTGAGTTGCTATGGGAGGAGATGGGGGAGTTCCTGGGGGTTTGTCTACACTTGCAGCCTAATTTGAACTAGAGCTGCAAATGTAGGCATTCGGAATTGCAAATCAAGCCCGAGATTTAAATATCCCACGCTTGATTTGCATCTTTCCGGCCGGGCACCATTTTTTGAAATTTACAAGCCCAAAGTAACTGCCCGCGTCTACATGTGGCAGTGAAACGGGTGTTCAAAATAAAGCCCTAGTTCGAACTACCTGTTATTCCTCCTGCAATGAGGTTTAGAGCATAGAGCAGGTCACCATACGCTCAAACGGCTTACGAGTTAAGGTCCTCAAAATCAAATTGAGGTCCCAGGCTGGAGCCAGAGGTTTGATTGGTGGATAAATGTTCTACAATTCTTTGAGGAACCTTTTGGTCGAGGGATGTGTAAATAGCGACTTACTGTCTATTGGCTAGTGTAAAACAGTTATGGCGGAGAGGTGAACCTTCAGGGAACTGAGTGAAAGTCCTGAATTATTGAGTTGTGTTGTGTTGCAGGACTGCGGGTAATGGAGCCGAAGATGCATCAAGGTTGTGGAGGTGAGACCAGATGGAGAATCGACGCCACTTGTACAGGTTAAGTTTTGTGAAGGGATGTTCTCTGACTGCTAAAGAGGATCTGCTGGACCTCATCTGTGCATTCTGTTTCTAGTGAAGTGAGCCATTGAGGAACCAGGCCTGAAGGCTCAGGGTGTGGAGATGAGGATGCTGAAGGCAACCACGACATTGAGTGAGGAGATGTGGGAGCCATGGGAGATGCCATGGGCGATCGGCTGACATTTGCAGTAGGTAGGTATACCATGTTTGTCTCAGCCAGTCTGGCGCTATCAGTATGACAATAGCATTCTCTAAGTGCCTCTTAGTGACTACTCGATGAAGAAGCAGTATGAGGGAAAAGGCACATAAGAGGGTCGTCCCACAGTATACCGTGAATGCGTCTCCTAGGGATTGTGTTCCAATGCCAGCACGTGAACAGTAGCATGGACACTTTTTGTTGGCACTAGTGGCAGACAAGTTGATCTGTGTAAAGATATGATGCAAAATGGTGGTGTCTAGTGCCCATTCATGGTTCGCAGGGAAGTTCCTGCTGTTCCTGCTTAGATTGTCTGCGGTTATGTTGTCTTTGCAAGGGAGATGGGAGGCAATTAACATTATATTGTGAGTGTTGCACCAAGTCCATAACCCGACTGCCTCTCTGCAGAGGGGGTAGGAACTCGCCCCCTCCCAGCCTGTTTATGTAGAACATTGCACCTTGGTTGTCCGTAAAGGTCTGCACAGTGGAGTTGGAAATACAGTTCACAAAATGCTGGCAGGTGTAGTATATTGCTCGGAATTTGAGCACATTGATGTGCATCGTGGTCTCTGTGTCAGTGCACCATGCTTGTGTAGTGAGGGTACCCAGGTGAGCTTCCCCAGCTCTGTTGCGATGCATCTATGGTGATGGTGAACGATGAGGCTTGCTTGTGGAAGGGGACCCCAGCGCGCATGTTTTGTGCTTCTGACCACCGTTGGAAGGAGCATCTGACCATGTTCGGAAGTGAGACCAGTTTGTGAAGGCTATGTATCTGAGGTCTGTATACTGTGCTCAGCCAGTGTTGTAGAGGCCTCATGTGTAATCTGGCATGTGGGACAACTGTTCTCGCTGCTGCCGTACGGCCTAATAGCTAGAGACATGCCTTCGTAGGAAGCTGTGGGGCCGTGGTATGAAGTTGTACTAGTTATAGTATTGCGAGGAACCTCTGATGGGGTAACAATGCAATAGCACAGATGCAGTTGAGTTGAGAACCTATAAACTCTAGGACTTGGGTTGGTTGGAGCTGGCATTTGGAGACGTTAATTTGGAGGCCAACTGCATGGAACAGTGACATGGTGGTCATGACTGAGTCCTGAGTTTCTTGGAATGACTTGCCCCTTATAAGGCAGTTGTTGAGCTATGGATAGACTGACACACCGTGTCTTTGCAGGTGGGCCGCCACAACTGCCAAGACCTAGGAAAAGACCCTTGGTGCTGTGGATAGGCTGAAAGGTAGTACTGTATACTTGAAATGCTGTCTCCCTGCTGTGAATCTTAGGTACTTTCTGTGCACAGGGTGTATGGGCACATGGAAGTACAGGCAGTCCCCGACTTACGCGGATCCGACTTACGGGGCTTTCTCTCAGCGTCAAGGGAGAAGGCAACAGCCAGCTGACCAACCAACTCCATCTCAATCCTCTAACTCTAGGCAAACATTTTGAAGATCTGGTCAAGAGCTGTCAGATTCGTCTTCTCTCACCCGAATCTCTGATTACCATAGTATCCAACCACAGATTTAGCTCCGTTTTACCATCAATGGTGCCTCATAACAACAGATAAATGGGTTCTGGACATGATAAAGTTCGGGTACAGCATCCCCTTCCTATCTCCTCCTAAAACCCAACCACCTGCCCTGTCCCTCTTCAGGGACCCATGTCAGGAGACTATTTTATGTCAAGAGATTGATCACTTGCTCCAGATCAATGCAGTGGAAAGGGTATCACAACAATATCAAAACACTGGCTTCTGCTCCTGATATTTTCTCACATAGAAGTCAGGAAGCTGTAGACTTAACAGCTGTTAACCCTGTACCAACACTTCAACATGGTTACCCTCTCCACCATCATACCCTCCCTCAACAAAAACGACTGGCTGGCAACTCTCGACCTCCAAGATGCGTACAGGCAGTCCCCGGGTTACGTACAAGATAGGGACTGTAGGTTTGTTCTTAAGTTGAATCTGTATGTAAGTCAGAACTGGCGGTCAGTTTCAGCAGCGGCTGACTCTGGACGCCAGTTCCGACTTACATACAGATTCAACTTAAGAACAAACCTACAGTCCCTATCTTGTACGTAACCCGGGGACTGCCTGTACGCATCTTGGAGGTCGAGAGTTGCCAGCCAGTCGTTTTTGTTGAGGGAGGGTATGATGGTGGAGAGGGTAACCATGTTGAAGTGTTGGTACAGGGTTAACAGCTGTTAAGTCTACAGCTTCCTGACTTCTATGTGAGAAAATATCAGGAGCAGAAGCCAGTGTTTTGATATTGTTGTGATACCCTTTCCACTGCATTGATCTGGAGCAAGTGATCAATCTCTTGACATAAAATAGTCTCCTGACATGGGTCCCTGAAGAGGGACAGGGCAGGTGGTTGGGTTTTAGGAGGAGATAGGAAGGGGATGCTGTACCCGAACTTTATCATGTCCAGAACCCATTTATCTGTTGTTATGAGGCACCATTGATGGTAAAACGGAGCTAAATCTGTGGTTGGATACTATGGTAATCAGAGATTCGGGTGAGAGAAGACGAATCTGACAGCTCTTGACCAGATCTTCAAAATGTTTGCCTAGAGTTAGAGGATTGAGATGGAGTTGGTTGGTCAGCTGGCTGTTGCCTTCTCCCTTGACGCTGGCACTTTCTAGGGTTGTATTATCTTTGAGAATGACCAAAGAGGGAAGCTCTGTATCTCTGAACATAAGGCTTGTTTTGTTTACGTTTTGGTGCAGGAGCCTAGATGCCCAGCGTTTTAAGTGTGGCCCTGAAGTCTTTCAGGGAGTGTAAAGAAGCATCTGTGCCATCAGCAAAGAACTTCAGACCCTTGAACGGAAGTTCTTCCATCTTCGTTTGGACCTCCTTTGGGAACCAGAAAGGTGGACCTAGGAGGCTCTTCTCATCACCACAGAGATGGCAAGGGCTTTGTAAGGCTGTGTCAGCTGAGTCCAAAGCAGCTTGGAAAGCTGTTCTGGCTATCAGGAGACCCCCGTTAGTGTTTGCTCTCATTTTTTCTTCTGGGAGGAATTGAATAAAGTCTGTAATTTGCTGAAATATGCGATGAGTGTATTTTGCCAGCATCATGGTGTAATTAGTGATACGTAGGTGTAGGGAGGCAGAGGAGTATGACCGTTTACCCATAATATCCAGATGTTTCCACTCTCTATCAGGAGGGGTGGATTTGGCAGTGTTTTGCTTGCTCCTCTGATTTACTGCATCAATTACTATGGAGTTGGGGGAAGTATGTGAGAATAAAAATTCAGCACCCTGAGGAGCCACATAATATTTCCTATCTACCTTCTTGCCCATTGGTGAATGGTGGCAGGTGTTTGCTAAAATTGCTTGGCTGGGTCCATGAGGGCAGGGTCCATGGGGAGAGCGAGCCTCATGGATGGAGAATATGGAGGATGCTTGTGAGTTTATGCTGGGTTGCTGGCAATGTGGTTAATGAGACCTCAAGGACCTTAAAATCATCCCCAGATAGGACTTGCGGAAGCATGAATGTGTCCCCTGAGGAGGAAGGAAAGATCTGTGAAAGTGGGTCAGAGGAAGTAGTGGATTCCTCGTCACTTAGTGTCTGATCAAAATCTGTCTGGTCCCTTGAGACATCAAAAGACACAGTCAATGTAGACCTGGACCGGAGCTGAGCAACATGGTGATTCTGTTGCTGCTGAGCCATGTAAGGTGCCCAGGGGTCCCAGTTGGGCCACATGGGCGCATTGGCATAGGAGGTGGTAGCCAATGCACAGGTTGCCAGTGTGTTAAGGCCAGTTGTGAATGAAGGAATTTGCGCCTTGGTGTAGAGTGTCTGGGAGGAGTTAAATAGTAATAGAGAGGTAGCTGTGTTAGTCTGATCTTGCTAAAACAAAAGGAAAAACTATGTAGCATTTTAAAGACTAATAAGATGGTTTAATAGGTGATGAGCTTTCGTGGGCCAGACCCACTTCCTCAAATCATATTCTGGAAGAGCATTGGCATGACCAAAGGAATACAATGAATACTAAAGAAATACAGTGAAAAAAGTGAACACGTTATTAAACTGACAAATCAGATTTAGTACAGACGGTGGGGTGAGGGAGAGGGAGGGAATAGCTATTTATGAGTCAATGAATGGCTAATCACATTGCAAAGATAGCTTCCCCACTTATCACCCCCTGATTAACCATTTGTTGTCTAGATAGCTTATTGTCCTTTTTTTTTCCTGGAGGGAGATGAAGTGGTCCTTGTAGGTAGTTTGCTGAATGTAGTAAAGTCTGGAAAAGATTACGTGTCTGTGGAGGCTTGATTTTTTATGATAGTTTCTTATGTTGAGAGCTCCTCCTTGATTTTTTCTGTTTGTTGTATAGAATGCTGGTAAGGTGGTTCCATAGTTCATTTGCGAGTGTGTGGCATAATCTCTGGCTGTAATCTGTGGGATATGTAGATTGTAGTGGGTTTTTCACCCTTAGACCCTAAATGATCAGGATGAGGGGATGAACTGTACCCTCAACAAGTTCACAGATGACACTAAGCCACAAAACTAGGGGGAGAGGTAGATGTTCTGGAGAGCAGGGATAGGGTCCAGAGTGACCTAGACAATTTGGAGGATTGGGCCAAAAGAAATCTGATGAGGTTCAACGGGGATAAGTGCAGAATCCTGAACTTGGGATGGAAGAATCCCAAGCACTGCTACAGGCTGGAGACTGACTGGCTAAGCAGAAGTTCAGCAGAAAAGGACCTGGGGATTATAGTGAATCAGAAGCTGGATATGAATCAACAGTGTGCCACTGTAGCCAGGGAAGCTTAAGGCATATTGGGGTGCATTAGTAGGAACATTGCCAGAATATCTAAGGAAGTGATTATTTCCCTTTATTCGGCACTAGTGAGGCCATATTGGGAGTACTGCATCGAATCTGGGCCCCCCATTATAGAAAGGACGTGCACGCATTGGAGAAAGTTTAGTGGATAGATAATTAGGGAGCTGGAGCACATGAGTTATTAGAAGAGGCCAAGGGATTTGGGTTTATTTAGTTTACAGAAGAGAAGTATGAGGGAGAATTTGATAGCAGCCTTCAACTACCTGAAAGGGGGGTTCCAAAGAGGCTGTTCTCAATAGTGACACATGACAGAACAAGGAGCAAACTGCAGTGGGGGAAATTAGGAAAAACATTTTCACTAGGAGGGTGGTGAAGCACTGGAATGGGTTACCTAGTGAGGTGGTGGAATCGACATCTCTAGAGGTTTTTAAAGCCCCAGCTTGACAAAGCCCTGCCTGGGATGATTTAGTTGGGGTTGGTCCTGCTTTGAGCAGTAAATTGAACTAGATGACCTCCTGAGATTCTTCCAACCCAATGATTCTATTATCTCTATAGTCACAGAACAAAAAAGGAGGGTGAGTGGGTTACAGACTGTTGTAATAAACAATAAATTCAGTGTCCTTATTCAATCCATGATATTTAGTGTCTAGCAAAATTATGAATTTAAGCTCCCAGGCTCACTTTTTGAAGGTGTTATATAGGTTTCCTTTGAGGATGAGGAATAGTGATTGGATACGGATTGATTACTTTGTGGAAAGTATTCACACATATGTGATAGTGTTTCTCTTCATTTTTCTGTGCAAGTTAATTTGAGAGCATAGCAATTGTCTTGTTTCACTCATATGGTTGTTATTAAGACATTTAGTGCACTATGTAGTGATAGGCATGTGCAGGACCCAGGGATTTTTCAGGGTGTGCAAGGGATAGGGATCATCGTAGGAGTAAAGATATGTTGATAGGCTTTTCATCAATTATTCAAGTATCTGGTGCCACTCTGAGTTGGTGTATCCTGGTCTGTGAGGAGCTTGCTTCTGATAATGAGGTTGGGGGTTGCTGATAGGGAAGTGACCGGTGGTAGCTCTCTGCCTGCGATGCGGTGGCCTGGCTTGGCCGGTGGCTCCCACCCACAGTGGGCTCGTCCTGGCCAGAATAACCTATGGTGCAGCCAGCCCGGCTGCGCTGGAGCAATCTCCCGCACTGTGCAGTGTGTGAAAGGCTGCTCCAGCCCAGAAACACCAACTGTGCTGCCTGCGGGATCCTGGTTAAGTGGTTAACTGGTTAAACGTTACTGAGATTTTACATCCCTAGTTGTTGGAAGGCCAGGAGTTCGGGATAGATTTCTTTCAGGATGTTGTTCCCAAGAAGTATGCAGTATAATTATTTATTGATACCCCATAGGAGTTCCACTGTTGGATAGTAGGTGACAATTAGGGCTCCACATAGGAATGTTTGCATCATGGGTTGTGCTGCCCAATCTACTTCGCTGGTGGAACATCTTGTTTGGTGAATGCTATTTTAAATGTGCTAAGGTGTATATCTTAGACTTTCGCCTCCAAGTATATTTTGTGAAGTCTGATGGCCTGGCTGTAGAGAACAGACCTCTTGGTATATTTAGGTGGTTACTGGATCTATGAAGGCAAGTGTAGTGGTCTGTAAGTTTCTTGCGCATAGTGATCCATAGGAACTAAAATAATGTACTTAATAGAGATGATGGATTTATGGTTTATTACAATAATCCGTAACCCCCTGAACCTCTGTCTACTTTCTCTTGAATGGTCCTTTACAATATGTTAGCTATTTAGGCTAGACAATCTGTGTCACCTTGCATAACACTTCCATCTATGACACTCGGGGTACTTTTCTCAGACCTCAAGAACTCTGTGTAAACTGGAAAGATTTGTCTTCCACAAACAGAAACTGGTCCAATAAAACATATGACTGCAGTCACATGGCCTCTCTTATATCCTACAACCAACATGATTATAGCAATTTTAGAATACAGCAACAGACCTGCACTTGAATTAAACCGGAGATAAGATACTCTTAAAATACCCCAAACATATTCATTACACATACGCCATTCAACTAACATTAAAAAGTTTGAATTCTCATCACCTAAAGGTCTTGGCTGAATTGAGAATTATAAGGTTCAATATCCTATTACAGAAAACAACATATTTTTTAAGACTACAACAAAATACATCACAAAAGTTCTTCTTCCTTTCCCCTTTTTTAATAGAATAAATGGGCATATGTGATCTAGTATTTCGTTACCTGGTCTCCAATGAGATTTGGTTTCACTGGGCGACAAGGTAAGTGGCAGATGCACATTCTGTATCCTGGAAAACAAACCAGTTCTTGTCATCTTGCAGTACAGTAAATACATAGCACGTAAGTAACTTGGGCAGGGAGTTGGACTTGACCTCCTGAGGTCTCTTTCAGCTCTATGATTCTATGATATCATAAGCTCTTTAGGGGTAAGGAATATCTTATTTGTTAATACAATGCCTTGTGTAACAGGACTTGGACTTAGCTAAGTGCTTCTACAACACAAATAAATAATAAAAGTACGTAACATCCATTTCTTCTGGTACACATATCCCATCAATACGAAGAAGACTTTTTTAAAACGAAAAAGTCACTGATATGCACTCAGGTTCCAGAACTGTAGTAGACAGTTGTTAGGACTTGAACCATCTACCTGACTAGTAACCTTTTCAAAAAGCATATAAATGTTTTAGGCTCCTAAGTCCCATAGACTTCAAATAAGACTTAGGCTCCTTCATGTCTAAGTTACCTTTGAAACTGGGATTTAAGTGCTTGGGAAAATTTTATCCAAAGCCTGCAAAGTGTGATCAGAAGTCACCAGTGCAGTCTCCTGACAAGTATTGTGCTTTGTCCAGTGATGATAACCACTGGGCTGCATGCACATGCTCCCCCTATATGTTGCGCTGGCTATGTGCAGGTAGCCAGCACAGAGCCTCAGCTCTGGTCTACACTAGGGAGTTATTTCTATACAAGTGGAGTGTCTACACCAGCAAGTCCTTTATTTCAAAATAAGGGGCTGGTTATTTTGAAGTAACGCCTGCTTTCCACAAGAAATAACACTTACTGAGAAACAGCTATTTTGAAATAGCACAAGGGTGGATGCTCCTCTGCTGCTATTTCAAAATAACTACTTCCCAGTGCTTCCTCAGGCTCTAAGTTGAGGTAGCGCATCCACATGAAGATTGCTTTCATGACATGCTAATAAGTTATATTCTGGGAAAAGTGCTTAGCTGAAACTATTTTAAGTGTGAAGTAGAAAACAGAGAATCACATTTGAGATATTCCTCTACGTGATGGGCCAAAATTGACTTTCTTTTTGTTACAAGTTACAAAACTTCATGTTAGTTAAGTGTCCATGCCTGATAAAGCTCTGAATTTTAGAAATTGGATTAGGTATATAAACAAACTCACATGAAGGTGAAATAGCCATAGATATTTCCAGATAGTAATATTAAAAACTAATTTATCATATAAATTTACCAATTTTGAAATTGGTAAGGAAAAAAGGAAAAATGCAGACTGACTTTTGTTATAAATACCAGGTGTAAAATGGAACATGCTACTGACTCTGATTTAGGGTCAGGATCTCGCAGTCTTTGTGCATGAAACTCCCAACTAATGTCAATGGGAATTTTAAATGCATGGGCTCTACAGAACTGAGCTTTATGCTTCCACTTAATCTTATGTTGTACTCTGTCCCATAAAATATATGGAAGAATTAAGCAATTGATTCAAGTATAAAAGACTTTACCTTCAAATTCAACAGAGACTTTCCAATGCAAATTTTGAAGGTGGCGATGGAGCTTATGACTATAGCAAGCTTTGAATTTCTCTTCAGGACACAGCGGACAAGGTTTCTTTCCAGCTGAAAATTCATATAAAAATAAAACAAAGAAGTAGATATATACAATGAATGAGCAGATTAGAGTTGTATATTGGTATAGATTTCCGTACATTCAACTATGCATATTTGAGACTAAACACTATTTTCCTCCACATCTAGTACTAGGCAGACTTGTGTTTGTGTGTCATAGCAAATTAAGCTCTGTAAATACGTATTTAAATTTATAATCACAAAATGCCATTCATGCAGGTATTGTATCCTCCTTTGAAACTCAACCTGGAAACTGAAAGTCAAGATAGGATCTTACTGCCTTGTGCATCAATAGCAGCAATTGTATTCTGATATTCATGCCAGAAAAATCTAATTTATGGTCCTGATACTGCATTAGCTTTACATGGCTCATAAGTAAAAAGCAGTAAAAGCTTAGATTGTCAGTAACTAGATACAAGTCTGAATACATGTTAAAACACTTAACATTTTCTAATTTTGTTTTATTCATGATGTCTCCTGCTGCCTCTTGTCTTGTACTTAGATTGTTAGCTCTTTGGGGCAGGAGCCATCATTTTGCTGTGTGTTGGTAGAGTGATTAGCACAGTAAGGTTCCTGATCATGACTGAGATTTCATAAGCACTACCACAATACAAATAACAATTTCAACTCAATTCACGCTCAATTAATTTTTCAATAGATAAAATTTCAAAGTGTAGTTACTGTCAGAAAAATTAACAGCAAGTTTTCAGAGGCCAACTGCTTATCCACTGGGAAGAAAAGGTGTAGAGATTTTAAGATGGTTTTAGAGGATTGTTTTAAAGTATAATCGCTATTTTTTACAATTAATTTTTATAAAACACATACATTATAGTGTCCCCTCAAATTATTACTTTAAATTTTGTTAATAAACTTTCCATATTAGAGGTTACTAGATTTAAGGTATTTTACCGTTTTTTTTTGTTTTAGTTGACTTTTAAATTTTGATTAACAGAAACTGCCAAATAATTATGACCTTACTTTCAAAAGCCTATTTTAAATTAACTCTTAAGTATGTAGTGTTTCATATTAGTACTTTGTAGTAGCTGAGTGCACAAAATATGGGTGCAATTAGCTTGATCATATTCTGGAGTATACGCTCCCTTTTAAATCAGGGCAACACAGCCACGGTCCTGAAAATAATACCGAGAATAACCCTTCAATGTTTTCTGGCCACAATGCTTCATGGGAAGGTAACAAATAAAAATGCTTTGAGGTAAGCCAGGCAGTGCAATAATAGCTGCAAAGCAGTCAACTATTCAAATAATAATCCCGTTCTTTTAATTTCAAATAATATATATATTTGCCAAGGAAAATATTGATTACTTCTCTAGCATGACATTAGAAAACTATGTTTCAGCATATGCTATTGGGCTACAGCTAGAAGTTAACACAGTTTTCTTAGCTGTGCATGTTCATGACGATAGTGATGCGACTATACAGAGAGCAAAACAAAAATGGAGCCACTGGGTCCTTTCCTCTATTTCATTAAGAACGGTGTACTTGAAGTGAGAACAGAGGTTAGCCAAGTTGTGGGCAAAACCAGTAGGCAATATTTTTTTTTAAAAAAGTCCAAACTTCAAAATTCAAACACTCAACTTCAAAGAAAAGTGACAATATTTTTTAAATAAATTAAAAAAACAAGAATGAATATAAATACCTGCAACATGTTGATCTGTGTTCTGGGGTACAGCGGTAAAATCACCTTCACTCAGGTCAGCTAGTTTTGCTAGATCAGCAAGCTCTCTTTGAATGGAAATGTGTTTCTCTAAAAGTTAGAGATTTTCAAGTTAAAACACTTCTGCTTTCACATCCCATTTATTTTTCAGTTCATATAGTTCTTCTGACAGTCACTCCAGTTCTAATGCTAGCTGAGAGGGAATCTTGTGCCAACTGAAAAAATATTTTGCATTCTATGTCTTTTGAATAAATTTGATGAAAGTGCTATAGACAGAATGGAATAACTCATCTGAATTCCTGTATGTTCCAGATTTATTTATTTTTGCTTTTTAATAGATATTTAAAAAGCTAAACTGAAGAATTTCAAACAATGTTTACATCTTATATTTCTGGATTCTTTGCTGATGCCATTCCATAGACTGCAGCACTATAGTCACATCCTGTATAATGTGGTATGCAAAAGCAAAATTGTCCTCTGAGCTCTTTGGCAAACCTCACAAATCAGTTATACCATACTATATTAGTACAAAGTACAATTATTAATACAACCAAGGCACATTATACATCTCAAGTCCCTCAACCATTTCTGGACTTTTTTTTTAAGCAGGTTTGAGAGGAATTCCCTCAAATTACTTTCACATACTGGCAACTTCTCTTGCTTTTACCAAATTCAGCAACAATACTTACTGAGAATAACCAGTTTGGTTATTGCCTTTTATATACTGTATTGCTTGGCTCTGACACGGGAAATCCAGATGCATAATACTTGGTTTTGTAGTGGTTTTACACTTTTAAAACCTATTAAAAGCCCAAAACTTCACAGTACCCTCTGAGGTAGGGAAATTGAATAAGGGATTAAATTACTTGCCCAAGGCAAGGGAGCACATAACTGTTGGGATTACAACCAGTGTTCCCTCTAATTTATGTCCCTGTATGGAATAAATTTTGTTATGTGCACCAATATTGAGATGGTGTGCGCCACATTCTGCACATGGACGATCTTCGGTGGGGATGGGACTGAGGGGTTTGGAGTGTGGGAGGAGGCTCAGAGTTGGGGGAAGTGAGGGCTCTGGCTGGGGGTGTGGAGTCTGGGATGAGGCTGCAGATGAGACATTTTGGATGCAGGAAGGGGCTTCAGACCGGAGTAGGGATGTTAATGGTTAACTGGTAAGCCTCATTCTTAATGGGACAGACTTACTGGTTTCAGTTAACTGTTGGGGGCTGGAGCAGCTCCCTGCCCACTGTGGACAGGGGGCTGCTCCCCACCCTGGGCAGGGATGCTACAGCCCAGCCAGAGCAGCTCCTGTCCATGGCAGACCTGGCCCATGTGCGCTGCAGGCAGGGTCGCTCCAGCCCGCCCATCCCCCTTTAATCAGTTAAACATTACCATGGAGCTTATGACTATAGCAAGCTTTGAATTTCTCTTCAGGACACAGCGGACAAGGTTTCTTTCCAGCTGAAAATTCATATAAAAATAAAACAAAGAAGTAGATATATACAATGAATGAGCAGATTAGAGTTGTATATTGGTATAGATTTCCGTACATTCAACTATGCATATTTGAGACTAAACACTATTTTCCTCCACATCTAGTACTAGGCAGACTTGTGTTTGTGTGTCATAGCAAATTAAGCTCTGTAAATACGTATTTAAATTTATAATCACAAAATGCCATTCATGCAGGTATTGTATCCTCCTTTGAAACTCAACCTGGAAACTGAAAGTCAAGATAGGATCTTACTGCCTTGTGCATCAATAGCAGCAATTGTATTCTGATATTCATGCCAGAAAAATCTAATTTATGGTCCTGATACTGCATTAGCTTTACATGGCTCATAAGTAAAAAGCAGTAAAAGCTTAGATTGTCAGTAACTAGATACAAGTCTGAATACATGTTAAAACACTTAACATTTTCTAATTTTGTTTTATTCATGATGTCTCCTGCTGCCTCTTGTCTTGTACTTAGATTGTTAGCTCTTTGGGGCAGGAGCCATCATTTTGCTGTGTGTTGGTAGAGTGATTAGCACAGTAAGGTTCCTGATCATGACTGAGATTTCATAAGCACTACCACAATACAAATAACAATTTCAACTCAATTCACGCTCAATTAATTTTTCAATAGATAAAATTTCAAAGTGTAGTTACTGTCAGAAAAATTAACAGCAAGTTTTCAGAGGCCAACTGCTTATCCACTGGGAAGAAAAGGTGTAGAGATTTTAAGATGGTTTTAGAGGATTGTTTTAAAGTATAATCGCTATTTTTTACAATTAATTTTTATAAAACACATACATTATAGTGTCCCCTCAAATTATTACTTTAAATTTTGTTAATAAACTTTCCATATTAGAGGTTACTAGATTTAAGGTATTTTACCGTTTTTTTTTGTTTTAGTTGACTTTTAAATTTTGATTAACAGAAACTGCCAAATAATTATGACCTTACTTTCAAAAGCCTATTTTAAATTAACTCTTAAGTATGTAGTGTTTCATATTAGTACTTTGTAGTAGCTGAGTGCACAAAATATGGGTGCAATTAGCTTGATCATATTCTGGAGTATACGCTCCCTTTTAAATCAGGGCAACACAGCCACGGTCCTGAAAATAATACCGAGAATAACCCTTCAATGTTTTCTGGCCACAATGCTTCATGGGAAGGTAACAAATAAAAATGCTTTGAGGTAAGCCAGGCAGTGCAATAATAGCTGCAAAGCAGTCAACTATTCAAATAATAATCCCGTTCTTTTAATTTCAAATAATATATATATTTGCCAAGGAAAATATTGATTACTTCTCTAGCATGACATTAGAAAACTATGTTTCAGCATATGCTATTGGGCTACAGCTAGAAGTTAACACAGTTTTCTTAGCTGTGCATGTTCATGACGATAGTGATGCGACTATACAGAGAGCAAAACAAAAATGGAGCCACTGGGTCCTTTCCTCTATTTCATTAAGAACGGTGTACTTGAAGTGAGAACAGAGGTTAGCCAAGTTGTGGGCAAAACCAGTAGGCAATATTTTTTTTTAAAAAAGTCCAAACTTCAAAATTCAAACACTCAACTTCAAAGAAAAGTGACAATATTTTTTAAATAAATTAAAAAAACAAGAATGAATATAAATACCTGCAACATGTTGATCTGTGTTCTGGGGTACAGCGGTAAAATCACCTTCACTCAGGTCAGCTAGTTTTGCTAGATCAGCAAGCTCTCTTTGAATGGAAATGTGTTTCTCTAAAAGTTAGAGATTTTCAAGTTAAAACACTTCTGCTTTCACATCCCATTTATTTTTCAGTTCATATAGTTCTTCTGACAGTCACTCCAGTTCTAATGCTAGCTGAGAGGGAATCTTGTGCCAACTGAAAAAATATTTTGCATTCTATGTCTTTTGAATAAATTTGATGAAAGTGCTATAGACAGAATGGAATAACTCATCTGAATTCCTGTATGTTCCAGATTTATTTATTTTTGCTTTTTAATAGATATTTAAAAAGCTAAACTGAAGAATTTCAAACAATGTTTACATCTTATATTTCTGGATTCTTTGCTGATGCCATTCCATAGACTGCAGCACTATAGTCACATCCTGTATAATGTGGTATGCAAAAGCAAAATTGTCCTCTGAGCTCTTTGGCAAACCTCACAAATCAGTTATACCATACTATATTAGTACAAAGTACAATTATTAATACAACCAAGGCACATTATACATCTCAAGTCCCTCAACCATTTCTGGACTTTTTTTTTAAGCAGGTTTGAGAGGAATTCCCTCAAATTACTTTCACATACTGGCAACTTCTCTTGCTTTTACCAAATTCAGCAACAATACTTACTGAGAATAACCAGTTTGGTTATTGCCTTTTATATACTGTATTGCTTGGCTCTGACACGGGAAATCCAGATGCATAATACTTGGTTTTGTAGTGGTTTTACACTTTTAAAACCTATTAAAAGCCCAAAACTTCACAGTACCCTCTGAGGTAGGGAAATTGAATAAGGGATTAAATTACTTGCCCAAGGCAAGGGAGCACATAACTGTTGGGATTACAACCAGTGTTCCCTCTAATTTATGTCCCTGTATGGAATAAATTTTGTTATGTGCACCAATATTGAGATGGTGTGCGCCACATTCTGCACATGGACGATCTTCGGTGGGGATGGGACTGAGGGGTTTGGAGTGTGGGAGGAGGCTCAGAGTTGGGGGAAGTGAGGGCTCTGGCTGGGGGTGTGGAGTCTGGGATGAGGCTGCAGATGAGACATTTTGGATGCAGGAAGGGGCTTCAGACCGGAGTAGGGATGTTAATGGTTAACTGGTAAGCCTCATTCTTAATGGGACAGACTTACTGGTTTCAGTTAACTGTTGGGGGCTGGAGCAGCTCCCTGCCCACTGTGGACAGGGGGCTGCTCCCCACCCTGGGCAGGGATGCTACAGCCCAGCCAGAGCAGCTCCTGTCCATGGCAGACCTGGCCCATGTGCGCTGCAGGCAGGGTCGCTCCAGCCCGCCCATCCCCCTTTAATCAGTTAAACATTACCTTTAACTAGTTAACCAATTAAATGGGATTTTACATCCCTCGACTGAAGCCAAGGAGTTTAGGTTGCAGGGAGTGGGCTCAGGGCACGAGCAGGGTCAAGTGGGAGTTGGGGTGTAGGATGGAGTTCAGGGTTCCGGCGTTTGGTTCTATGATGGAGCTAAGGATGGAGCGGACTCAGGACTGGGGCTCTGGGTTAGGCTGCAGGATCTGCGAGGGAGTGGAAAGCTTAGGGCTGGAATAGAGGATTGCGATACATGGTCTGGGAGGAAGTCAGGGGCTCAGAACTGAAGCTGGGTGTGGGACGCTTACCTGGGGTAGCTGCCATTTGATGGGGGGGAGGGGGAGGGACAGGAGAACCCACACTGCCTCACGCTCATCAGCAGGCACCATCCCTCACAGTTCCCATTGGCTGTGATTCCTGGCCAGTGGAAGCTGTGTGGGGGCAAGGGGCTCTAAATGACAGCACATGGTGCTACATAGCCCCCCCCTGGCTGGAGGGAGGAAGGGGATCTGGGAGCTTCATTAGCCAGGTGGCACATATGCTACTGCAGCCAGGGAAGAGGAGGCTGTAGCTGCTCCATGCACGGCAGTC